CGGCGGCGGCTGTGCGGGGAGCGGCGGGCGCCGCGGTCGGGGCGGGCGCGCGCGGCAGCATGGAGGAGCTGAGCAGCGTGGGCGAGCAGGTCTTCGCCGCCGAGTGCATCCTGAGCAAGCGGCTCCGCAAGGTGCGTGCGGCCCGGTCCGCGCCCGCCCCGCGCCCGCCCGCCCCGGCTCACGCGCCTCTTCTCTCCCTGCAGGGCAAGCTGGAGTACCTGGTCAAGTGGCGCGGCTGGTCCTCCAAGTGAGTCCCCGACGACGCGGCGCGCGCCTTCCCGCCCGCGCCACCTCGGCCCCGGGGGGGCGGGGGCGTCCGCGCGCTGGGCGGGAAGTTCGCGGGGTCCCTGCGGGCTCGGCGGGAAGGGGGCGCGCAGCCTTGCGCGGGGCAGCCCTTTGTTTACGGGCCCGCGGGGCGCGGGGCTGGGCGGCCTCCCCCGGAAGCCCCTCCGGCCGCGCGCTCCACCCGCGCCCATTTGTTGCTTGCGCCCCCGGCCCGCCTCAGCCCTCCCCGCGGGACGTGAACCCCCCCTTCTCCCGTCCATATTTTCCCCACTGTAACCTGAGCTTCCTATTGATGGGTGTAAGGGCGCCTTCCCCCCCCTTTTTAAAGTATGGAAGGGGACTTGGCATCCCCGGAAGGGGCTCTGTTTACAGCCCCTCGGGCACACCCGTTTCCCCTTTCTTCCCGGACCCCACTTTTCTTTCTTTGCTTTCCCCTCCGGGTGCCCTCGCCCGCGCTCGCTCGGGCGCCAGCCACATTGTTCTGAATCTTTGGGCAGCGCTTCTGTGCCCCTCGGCCTGCCCCTCCCTGCATCCTGGAGCAGCCTTCCCTTCCCTCGCTGGATCCGGGCCAGGCTTTGGGGGCTTCCCTCCCGGCAACTTCCCATTTTATTGGGATTTGTTTTTCCTCCCAGGGGGAGACTGTGGAGTTTTCCTGAGGCCGCATGTTAGTTAATTGAGGATTGAGGTGGTGGTTTCCCTTGGAGTTTGGGGCTGGGGTATTGGCCTTAAGGCCCCCAGTCTCCAGGAACTCATCCTAGGCACAGGTGGGATTTAGGGGGACTCTGCCACAGCACCCCGGTGCCCTTGCCATCAGCAGGGATTGGAGGGCAAGGGGGCGGCCCCACTCCAGCTGGTTTCTGAAGTGGCCTTTCCCGGCCTGGTGTTTCTTGACGCCTTGCGTTTTGCTTTTACAGACATAACAGCTGGGAGCCAGAGGAAAATATCTTGGACCCAAGGCTGCTCCTGGCCTTCCAGAAGAAGTGAGAAAGTTAACAGCACGTGTGGGAAGGGGGAGAGTATTGGGGAGACCGTGGCCTGTCCTGTTGTGGTTCAGGGCCAAGCAGGCCTTCCAGGGGTCCTGGGCTTGGGCTGTGGTCTGAGGGCCTCCTGTGCTGGGGCTGTCGGTGGAGGTGGGCCGAGCTTTGAGGTCCCAGATGAGCCCCTCCCCTGCCTTCCCTTGGCTGGCCAGCGCCGTGTCCAGAGCTCGGAAGTCACTGCATTAGTGCTGCTCTGGGTCCTTCTCACAGCCATACTTGCAAAAATGAACCTTCTTGGTTCCTTTCTGAAAAGTTATGGCTTCTCTTGTTGGCCTTTTCTGTTGAGTCATTTGTCAACAGTACTAATAAGAACTAGGATGGCAGGTTTGCCGTACAAATAGTGGTCTGGCCGCCCAGTGCTCCCTGAGGGTGCCATGGAGCAAGGGAAGGCCCAGAGAGGGAGCTGAAGCAGCACAGCAGAAAGTTAGTGGGTTCTGTACCGGAAGCGACACATTTATTTTTCTTTAGACTGCAAAACAGGTGGTACAGGGGTGGGGGGGGTGGACCACCCTTGCAAGTCTCAGGGGACAAACTTGCTTCTGTGATTTTAGATGTCATCTCCAGTTTTAGATAGAGCTGGGTTAAGAGAGACCTCCTTCAGATAGGCAAAAGGGTGATGAGGGGCAGGTGGGGGGGGGGGGCCCGCCTCCGGGCAGGGGGGGCCAGGGAGCAGTGTCCCTAAGCACAGTGCGGGGGGTGGGGGGTGACTTTGCTGTGGGTTGCCCTGTTGATAGACGCAGATAAACGAGTTGCTCAGCAGCTCTTCCATCTGGCCTGCTTGTTCTCTGGTCCGCTTTTTACCCCCATTGTAGCAGGGTCTTCTCCAAGAGGCCATGCAGTGGGAAGCAAGTAAAGATGGGCTTTGAGCAGAGTTAGGAGAGACGAGGCCAGCGTATGCTTGCCTCCATACCTTTGGAAAAGCTCATCAGTAATTTGTCCGCTGTTGAATTCATAATTCGGGTCTTGTAAGCCTGGGCAGGGGACGAGGGGTGGCGGGAGCTGGTCCGTTTCTCTGCAAGACACAGCCGCCTAGCTGCTGAAAGAGTGTGTGTCCTTTTCGGTTATTGCATAGCAGACAAGGACGAGGGTGAAATATCCAGGAGGTGTGAGAGTTGAAAACAAGCATGGGGTGATCTGACTTACATCATGGGGAAGAGAAATCTGGGAAGGTGGGTGTCTCCCCTTCTGCACCCAGGCGACAGCCTCCCCCCTAAACTAGGAGCTGGCAGTCCCGTACTTGGGGGTGGGGTGGCGTTTGTAAGGGCAGGTCTGAGATTCAGAATCTGCAGGTGCAGGTTAATGTGTCAGCAGAGGAGACCCAGGGGATGCCCCCATCCTTCTGGGAGACAGGTTGGGGGCTGCTTCGGAGAGTATGAGTTCTGTCTGGTTGTACTAATTGGATTCTTTAAGAGAGCGCCTTCCAGGCCCCAACAAGATGACAGTTGCCCCTTTTAATTACTGGGAAGCGTCTCTGAATCAGCCTTTTCCCCAGGGTGGCCTGCAATAGAAGCTTTCTCTGGGGGTGGGGCCGGAGGCAGCTTTCTTGGCTTCATGACCCCGCGTTCTGGGAGCTGATTAAGGGTGTGCTACCGGAGGTGCGGGCTTTGAGCTCCAGCCACTTCGGGATCAGGCACCTCCAGCGCATCTGTCAAGAGCACAATCTAGGAACAGAGAGGTGTTAGGAAAAGGAAGTCGGAAGTGAGCCAAGGGCACTGGCTCTGGGAAGACCAGAGTGCAGGGTGGCACCAGAGCCCTTGGTTCCCCTGACCAGTGCTCGCAGACCGGAGGGGCAGAGGCTGGGGCCAGTGGTCCTTGTCTGCCAGCCCGCGACTCTTGTTTGGAGCCCTGGGGTTGGACCGTGGGACAACGAAGGCTCCTTCTAGTGGGCTGCATTCTAGAAGTTCCACGAAACATTCTCCCCGTGGAAAGTGGCCGGGATTAGCACGGGGCTGTCTGAAGAGGAGTCTGGGAAAACTGGAGAATTGTTCCTTTCCCGGCTTTGCTGAAATTTCTTTCACTCATTTTTACCCAAATGCAATAAAAGCTATAGGTAAAAAACTAATAGCATATTGGAAGGAGAAGGATCTAGACGTCTGCCTTGGGCATGTTCGTGAATGGCACATGTTTGCGGTGGGACTGAGGATAAGCTGCCGCAGGCCTGGAGTATGGAGGGGCGGTGTTTGGCGGCCTGGGGTTCCCGTGTGGTGGGAGAGGGTGTGTGCACAGGGCTTCTCCCACCTTGTTTGTTTGTTTGTTGTTGTTTTGGGTTTTTTTGACTCTTGTGAAGTTGTTTTTATTGGGATATAAGGGATGGGCTGGGAAAGGTCATGTAGGGCTTCTCCCACTGTGACTGGTGATTGTCTTAAGGGAACACGAGAAGGAGGTGCAGAACCGGAAGAGAGGCAAGCGACCCAGGGGCCGGCCAAGGAAGCACACGGTGGTGTCCTGTAGCCGGCACTCCAAGCTCAAGGTGGGTGGCCGCTTCCGTCCTCGCACCCCTCTGCGCAGAGTGGAAGGCAGAGGCAGGAGGGTTGAGGGCTCTGGGGAAGGGGGATCGCACTGGCTCTTCCACAGAGGTCCATCCCTGGCTCAGAAGACCCTGGCCTCCTGTCTCCTTCCTTGCTGGCGGCTGCGTGCCTCTGCCAGCAGGGGGCAACAGCAAGCCCCTGCCCCTGCCCCAGCCCCAGCTGATCCCCTCCAGAGCTGCTTTCTTGTTCATTTGGTGTCCCTTCTGCACCCCTTTCTAGGGGATGGCAGGGTCAGACTTGGCGGCCGAGCACTCTCTTGGGGCAACAGGAAAGAACTGGACTCATGCACACGGGGTGCTCAGGGGTTCACTGAGCAGGCGCAGCCAACCAGGGCAGCTCGCAGGGACGCACGCTTGGGGGTCCGGGGCAGTGCCCTCCCTTCAGCAGTTCAGAGGCAGGGTGGGGAGAAGGGTCACGGCCCCAGTCTGGGATGTGCCTAGGATTCCTTTCTCAAGGGCACTGCCCCGGGATCCCGAACCCACACTGTGTGGCCAAGAGCTCAGTCACTTCGAGAAACCGCCCTTCGGGAGGCTGTGAGAACCTCGCTTTAAGGCTTGCTGGCCGGTCCGCCCTGGCCTGCTCCTCACAATCTTCCTTTCAAGCAGGACGGTGGGAGTAGGGGGGGTCCTGTGGCCTTGGGCTCTCATCAGCTGGGGTGACCAGCTGGGGACCACGGAAGCGGCATAGAGGCCGTGGGCCTGGCTGGGCAAGGAGGCTCTGAGGCTCCGGGTTGGATTGGATCGTGCCCAGCTGAGGGCCCGCAAGTTTCACAGCAGGGAGCGGCATTGGCTCTGTTTCCCTAAAGTGTGCCCTTGGAAATGCCAGCCCAGTGAGACACAGGGCGCCCTGACGCCCAGAAGTCAGGAGGGCAGCAGTTTGTTCCCCTGTGTGCTGGAATGTTCTGAAGGGGTCCGATTTGCAAGTGGGAGGATTGGGGCAGGGTGTCCCCTTGCTTCAGATTACGGAGCGTGCCTACACGCACTAGTTGGCCTGCCTCGTAAGCTCTGCGCTTCCCTTTCTGAGCCGTCTGCTAGGGAGCCTGGAGCCAAACCAGCATCCCCCCCTTCAAGGCCGTAGTGCCTGGGACGTGACCGCGCATGCTCTTTGCTTCGTTGCTCGGCTCTGATTTCACAAACCACCTGTTCTTTGTTCTGCTCATTCTGCTTTTATTTTTTTTTATTTTTGTTTTTTTAAAGATTTCATTTATTTGAGAGAGAGAATGAGAGAGCACATGAGAGGGGCGAGGGTCAGAGGGAGAAGCAGACTCCCCGCTGAGCAGGGAGCCCGATGCGGGACTCGATCCCGGGACTCCAGGATCATGACCTGAGCCGAAGGCAGTCGCTTAATCAACTGAGCCACCCAGGCGCCCCTTGCTCATTCTGCTTTTAACTGCATCTCGTGGAATCTCACAAGGATTTTTCCGATCTCTTCCGGAGCAAGCTGGTGCGGCATCGCTCCCTCCTGGCTGCTTCTCTGGGGTGGAAGCCACTGGAGGTGTCAGCTTTGAGGTGTCCTGGGGGCCCGGCCTTCCAGCCGGTGACACCCGTGCTCTGTCTTTGCAGGAACCTGACGCGCCCTCCAAATCCAGCAGCTCCTCTTCTTCCTCCACGTCTTCCTCCACCTCCTCCGATGAAGAGGACGACAGTGACTTAGACGCCAAGAGGGGTCCCCGGGGCCGCGAGACCCACCCGGTGCCTCAGAAGAAGGCCCAGATCTTGGTGGCCAAACCCGAATTGAAGGACCCCATCCGGAAGAAGCGAGGCCGCAAGCCCCTGCCCCCGGAGCAGAAGGCGGCCCGGAGACCCGTGAGCCTGGCCAAGGTGCTGAAGACCGCCCGGAAGGACCTGGGGGTGCCGGCCAGCAAGCTGCCTCCTCCGCTCAGCGCCCCCGTGGCAGGCCTGGCCGCTCTGAAGGCCCACGCCAAGGAGGCCTGCGGAGGCCCCAGCACCATGGCCACCCCGGAGAACCTGGCCAGCCTGATGAAGGGCATGGCTGGCAGCCCCAGCCGGGGTGGCATCAGCTGGCAGAGCTCCATCGTGCACTACATGAACCGAATGAGCCAGAACCAGGCCCAGGCCGCCAGCAGACTGGCCCTCAAGGCCCAGACCGCCGGCAAGTGTGGCCTCGGGCTGGACCTTAAGGTGAGGACGCAGAAGGGGGAGCTGGGGATCAGCTCCCCAGGAAGCAAAGTCCCAAAGGCCCCCAGCAGTGGGGCTGTGGAGCAGAAAGGGGGGAGTGCAGGGGGGCCCCCCTATGTCCACAGTAGCAGCAAGGGCCCTGCCGGGTGCCTGGGCCCCCAGCCTGCACCCACCCAGGAGCTGAGCCTCCAGGTCTTGGACTTACAGAGTGTCAAGAACGGCACAGCGGGGGTGGGCATGGTTGCCCGCCATGCCACAGCCAGCAAGGGTGTCCCTGCCACCTGCCCAGCTGCAGGGAAGAGCGCCGGGGGCGGCCCCGCAGTGGGGAGTGGGTCCACCATGCCCTCTGATGGCAGCAAGAGTGAGAAGCTGCCTTCCAGGGTGGCGGCTCTGCCCTCTGTGGGCAAGAGGGACTGTGTCAGGGGCAGCTTGGCCACCAGCGGTCAGGAGGGCCACACGGCCCCCGGGGAAGCACGCAAGACAGCCTTGCCTGGAGAGCCGAGCGCCGGGGAGGAGAGCAGCTCCGACTCAGAGCCCGGCTCAGCCTCACCGCCCGGCGCCGCACAAAACCCATCTGTGTCTGTCCAGACCAGCCAGGACTGGAAGCCCACCCGCAGCCTCATTGAGCACGTCTTTGTCACCGATGTCACTGCCAACCTCATCACGGTCACCGTGAAGGAGTCTCCCACCAGCGTGGGCTTCTTCAACCTGAGACATTACTGATGCCCTGCGGCGGCCTGGCTCTTGCCTGCCCTTCTCTGGCCTCTGGTTTTACTTTGATAACTGCCCTGCACCCCCAAGCCCTTTCTGGGGTCCGGGTGGCCTCCTTCCGGGGCAGGCTTGGAGGGGACTTGCTCTGGCCCTGCCTGTGATTTCAGGCAGGGCAGTATCTCGATGCCTTGCCAAGGCCTGGCCTTGCCCTCGTTCCTACCTCGGGGCCTTTGCTTCACTTCCCACATGCCTCAGGACGTCTGCCTTCCCGTGTCTCTGGCCGAACGTTCCTCAAGGCCGCCCCCAGTTTACTGTTTGAACTGCCCTGCCTGTGACGACAGGGTGGGGGGTCAGCTTTCCTCTGCATATCCGGGGGACACAGCTGTTCGAGGAGGGACCCAGCTCGGTAGTTCCTGCCCAGTGGTGGGGAGGGGATGTGGACTGGGCTGAGGGCAAGATCTTGAGGGACTGCTCCAGGGCTCACCGAGGGGCAGGTAAGGGGCCTCGCCAGCCAGGACTCCCCTTCGGAGTGGTGCCCGACTGGCAAGGACCAGGGGGCCTGTCTGTCTCCCTGTCCCTGCCCCATGCCAACAGCTCAAGACTGCGGCCTGAATGTAGGGCAGGTGCTTGCTGTTGGGGTGCTCGGGAACCCTGGTTCACATTAACAACTGCTCCAGTGTTGGCCAGAAATCACGAACTGGGAGGGGGCTGGTCCCAGAGCTGTTTCACTAGAGCCTCCCCATTTCCAGGGGAGCAGAAGCAGAAGGGTGTCACTTTGGCTGCCCTCCTTTCTGCTGTTTGTGCTGTTCTGTGCAGGGACAGCTGTGGCCCCACAAACTGCCCCCAAGAGCCCCTGGAAGGTGGGAGTGTGGGCAGTCGCTGGGGTTAGGCCCACCCTCCGTGGCCTCCAGCCTCCCGGCTTTGGACAGGTGTTTGGCACAGCTCCCACCGTGCCCACCTCTGCCACGGTCGATGGGCACCTCCTCTCCCTGACAATCCCTCCCACCTTTGGGGATTCCACGAGCTCCTTCCCAGCTGCGAAGCCATGTCCCTGAATCCTTTGGAAGTGGGGCACGACCTGAAAGGCCAGATCTGCCTGCCCCCAGACGGGCCGAGTCTGGGAGCTGCCTGGTATGGCTTGTGGCAGAAAGGTGGGTCAAGGAGTGGGGTCACCAGGTCTTTGTGATGCCAAAAGAAAAGTGGAGGTGCAGGGTCCTGTTCTGCCTCAGTGGTTGGTGAAAGCCAGCCAACCCGTGTGGGCTCTCCCTCTGTCCTGTTGCCTTGATCACGGAGGAGCCCAGGCTTACGCGGTAAGCTCTGCTTTCTGAGGGGTGGGCCTGCCAGACCTCCAGCTCCCTCGACCCTCACCCTCCGCGCCAAATAGAGATGGCTTTTGTGTGTCTGAATCAGTTTCAACAGTGTGCCTTTGGGGACAGACCCGTGTCCAGGACCTTGCTAAGGGGTATCCACATGTGGCTCCTGGGTCACCTGCGTGGTGGCCGTTGTGGGCTGCAGCGGGAGTGGTGCCCATCTTGGCAGATCTGAGAGCTCAGCATCCCAGACAACCAGGCTAGAACTGGAAAGCGGGCAGCAAAGGGGAGAATTGACCCCCCCACGCTCTGCCCCCCAGGAGGCGGGGGGTGGGGGTGGGGAAGAGATTGCAGCTCACTGCACAGTCTGGAAGTCTGGAAGAAAGGGATCCCAGCACACTGGGCTGCTGACACCAGCTTCCCCTCCAGTCCCTGGACACCCGGATGTTCCCTGGCTATGACTAGAGGGGCTCCTCTGGGCTGCCTTCCCCTCAGAGGGGCTGATGGCCTCCAGGCTCTGAACCTCCCTTTCTGCCAGGCACCGGGCTGCCTTAGAGGCTGCAGAGCCAGGCCTCCAGCAGCTGTCTGAGCCCTTAGGGCCCAACCCTGGGCTTCGGTGCGCTGCTGGACAAATGCATGCCAGCACTGACCTGACATTCTCGACAGCCGGGTCTCCAAACCCCGACGTGGTGCCTTCCTGTTTACCAGCTACTTCAATCCCAAAGTTGACTGCAAACACCTTACTCCCAGCCACTTTGCCTTCTTGCTGTGTTGTGTGGTTTCCTTGGTGCTTGTGACTCCATGTGGTTCATGTTTAAAAGGGTGTGTGCGTGCGTGTGTGTGTGTGCGTGCACACACGTGCAGGCGTGACCGCCTCCGCTGGAGAGTTGATTGTCATGTTTACCAATAAAAGTAGTACTCTTTTATTTGCTGCTATGTGTGCGTGTGTGCGCGCGCGTGTGTGTGGCATCAGTCACGTCTGGCTGGAGATTCCTTGCTGATTCTGCAGGGTTCCCCACATGGACTGCAGCACAGTGTATACTGAATGGGTGTTTTAGTTGTGTCGCGTCTTTGTTTGCTTGTCATGGATAGGAAGAAGTGGCCAGTCTGTCCTTAAGAAGGTTTGACATATTTTTATATATATTTTTTGGTACCAAAAAGAGTGTGCCTTGGTTTGGTTACACTCAAAATCCTGACGTGACTAAGAGGGCTCTGGGCCTAGAGGTTTCATTAGGGGGAAACAAGGAGGACCAGAGGTTTGGACCAGTGCCAATTGCTGGCTTGATTTGTGTTTTTTAATTAAAAAAAAAAATCATTCGTGTATGCCACTTCTAATTGCTTTAAACTATGGCTGTTTGTTTGCTTTTTTAACAGAGAGAACAAAAGTGAATATGTTATTGCCCCGGGAAGCTTAGGATCTTTGTGGAAAGCAAGATGGCAGCCCAGCCCCCATATTCAATCAGAACCTACCAGTTAGAGAAAATACTTCCCCCAGGAAGCTGGTGGTGGTTTGGGGGGAGGGGGTGGGAGGAGGGGCAAGGTAGTGCCTAGATGACCAGAGCTTTTGCTCAAGTACATCTAAAGATTCTGTTGCCTTTCTAGTATTTTTGGAAAACTAACACTAGGCATAGGTTGCAGGTTTGTTTTTTGGTTTTTGACATTAATTTATTTTGCAGGGGAAAGACATTAGTAAGTGGTGTCGGGGTTTGTCTTACTTTCTGTTAACTTTTAGTATATCAATAAATCTCTTTTTTAACTTGTCAGCCTGGTGTACATCACGCGGGATGCCTGGAAACAATAATCTCTCTTCACTTGCCCAAAATACTCTGGATGTGGACTGACGGAAACATCCAAGCCTTCGGGAAAGGGCTAGCCCCTTTGGGGGGGGGGGGGGGGGGGGGGGGGTGTTTTTTCTAAGCAAAGGGGTGGGGTTGGTTAGAACTGTGAACCCCTACACCGGCAGTTCACAAAGGGCTATCTGGCCACGTCGAGAGATGATTCTGGTGGTCACAACTAGGGGGCAGGGGTGAAGGTTGCTGCTCCTGGCATCTAGTAGGCAGAGGCCAGGATGCTGCCCCGACATAATAAACTCACTTGGAGACCTTTCCCAGAAAGCAAGACTTTAAGTTAACCCCAAAGATGCTGTGCTGGAAAGCTGCATAACCCGAGTCCACCCCCTGTGCTAACACTTCAGAAGGACACAGCTCTAAAACCTCCAGAGGAGTCGCTGTGGCACTCCAGAGGTTTGGAGTCACTGGTGTGCTATGTACTCCTAACTCCTAGCTCATAATTAGGAGCTGATTTGCCTATTCTAGAACCTTCCCTGGGCCTTCAAGGTTTGCATCACCCTCAGCCTGAATGTGTTCATAGATTTCATCCTCCAGGGAGAATCAAGCTCCCTTTGAAGTGAAGACAGAAGTTGGAACTGGATGTTGGCCACCACCAGTTGAAAGGCTAGTTGGGGCGAAGGCCTGGATGTTTTCCTTGGGGAGGAGGTTCTCACGACAAATAGAAATGCAACGCACTCTCCAGAAAAGGCCAGAGAATTGGAAGTGCAACTCTTGCAGCAAGGCTGCAGGCCTGCTTTCTTTTGTCGCCCCTGCAGGGAGGCTGGAGCTGTTTTGTTTTGGAGAAGGTGGGCAGGGATGACGCCTCCCTGGCGGGCCTCTGGCTTTTGAGAGGGCAGAAAGGGGGTGGGGATGGCCAGGAAGGAGTGGGCACGCGGAGCAGGAGCCGGCGTTGCCCCTGGTGGCGAGCCAGGCTTTCGTGGGAGCCCCTGTCTCTAGAGCCTGCGCCAGACGGGTACGGGGCCCTCACCCACACCGGCCTTTGTTCATTTCTGCGCAGCTGATCTGATGGCCTAATCCACCTCATTCCCAGAAAGAATGGACTGGGCTGCCAAGGGGCCCGACCCGGCCCGCGGCCTTCCCCGGACTCAGCCCCGCGCCGCCGGGTCCGGCCCAAGGGCGCCTGGCGGGATGGCTCAGCAAGGCTACGGGGATCCCGGCGGCTGATCACCCCCTTCCCCTCCGCGAGGGAGGGCGCAGAGCGGGCGCCCACCGTGGCCCACTGTAGCGTGCTTTGGGGTGGGGGAGATGCGGCTTTCCCGGGGCTGCTTTCAAGAGCCAGAAAGGCACTGGCCACAAGCACTCGGCGAATCGAAAGGCCCGGAGGGGGTGGGCGCCCGGAGAGGGACTCAGGCCATCGCCTCTAGAGGGCGCGCGCGACCCGCGGACTTCGAGCCTCTGGCTCTTCGGACGCGCAGGGGACATTCCCTACCTCGGACTCCGAGCTGCCCCGGGGAATCGAATTGCTCGACCCCCACCCCGACTGCTCCCAGATGCCCCTGGCAGCCTCCATTTCCGAAGTGTCCGGAAGAAAGCCCCGGCCCCAACCCACAGCCTCTTCCCCGTGTCCAGGCCCCGAAGGCTGGACGCCGTGGAGCGCCGCCAAACACTGAGCAGCTCCCATCTCAGACTCCAGCTGGATCCGTGGCCCCCACCGGGCCTGGAGGAGTTTTTGGTGAGAGGAGAAAGTTAGAGCATGAGCCCCCAAAGCGCTGGATGCCGGCGTTCTCGCCGTCGGGTCTCCCGCTCACAGCACAGGGCCTCCCCTAGGATCGGTGCGTTGTAAGCACCAAAGGGACAGAAAAATGGATTCGATCCGCCGCGCTTCAAAGAGCCATAAAGATTCCAGTCCAACCAGCGTCGGCCAGAGGAGCCGACCCTGCCTTAGGACAGAGGCGGCACTGCGGGCCAAGGCCTCCGCTCCTGGTCACTCTCCTGGAGAACCTGCCCAGGGAACGGATACCGCGCAAGGAGCTCCCGGTCAAAGCCGAGTTTGATGGTGGCCAGCCAGCCGGGAAAAGGGGACAGAGTCGGCGCCCTCGCATCTTCCTAAACACGAGTCCTCTCCGCTGCCCAAACACCCAGGAGAGGTCGCTGGAGGGAGTCCCGATCGAGCAGCTGGGCCACAGCTGAGGGGCGAGCGCCCCTGGCGCCCCTCGCCAGGCCACCCCACTCCATCCCCGCCCCGACTCTGCCCGCTGTGGGCGCAGGCCCCTCAAGTCCGAAGGGCACTCGACGCCCCATGACCCGCTGCCCCAGCCCTGGCGCCAGTCGCTCCCTCCCTCCCCGATCCTCCCACTCAGCTCTCAGAACTGGGGGAAGAGGCGCGGAGAGCACCGCCAAGGGCGGGGTCCCCAACCGGTTGGCCGAAGACTGGAGATGTGCGGGCGAACGCGTCCCCACGCCTCTCCCTTCGCGCTCTGCCAGTGCGCCTAGGTCAGGGCTTCTCTGCGCGACGCGGTCTGCGGGGGGGCTACAGGGGTGGGACTGGGACAAGCCATGGCCGCCTTGGGGTCCGGAAGGCGCCTCTCCCCCGCCGCCCCACGTCGGCGCCCTGCAAAGTCTTCGCCCGGAAGGGCCAAGAACCCCTATCCCCACCCTGCGCTCTGCTCTTCCCGGACCGCGCCTCGCCCAGCGTTGGGGCTCCTACACCCCAAGAAGATCGGGGACCGAGAGGCTGGCGGGGGGCGGGGGGCGCGGGGCTGCGCCGCGGCCGCGCCAGGTTCACTAATCACATCAGCGTGCTCTGCGCCGGCTCCGAGCAGCCAGTTGCCTAGCAATACCCGCGAATTCAATTCCTCAATCAATAGGCGCGAGGCGCTGCATTTCGGGGAGCGCTGGCGAGGCTGGGTGGGTCTGGGGGCGGGTCCCACGACAGCACCAGGAAGCAGGCCGGGAACCGCCGGGCGCACATCTGCGGGGCGCCCGGGCCTCGGGGACCAGCGCCTTCGGGCCTAGGGGTGGGGCGCGCGGGGGGGGGGGCGGGGAGCCCCGCCAGAAGAAAGGGGACCCTGAAGGTAGTGCCCATCCTCCTGGTGTCCCCGAGTTCTGCCTGGGTCCCAGAAAATTGCAGCCCGTAGGTGAGGAAAGCCACGACCTACCCCCGGAGGCTAAGGAGAGTCACAGCCCACTCCCTCCAGAGCCCACCTCTACCCCCTCCCCTAGTTGGGAAGTTCCCCCAGTTGGGGTCGGGCCTTTACTGGAGGAATCCCTCGGGGCCGATGGGGGCAAGGGTGGGGGGTGGACGAGACAGGAAGAAAGGGTCCTCTCTCCCCAGGCTAGTCTTCCCTCTGCTCCAGTGGGGAGGGGGAGGGGAAGGAATAAAACCGAGACATGTCTCTATTTACAAAGTATGTATTTAAACACGTAGAAAGCGGTATTGGATACAGACATTCACGACCGCAGAAGATAGGTACCGAAGCTTCACTCTTGAGCTGAGGCGGGGATCGATTCTAGATTTGTACAAATCTTAGAATTAAATAAACTCAACAACACACGCACATCCCGCGCGGTTGCAGACTCCCAGCCACGCGGCCCTGGCCCCTGCCCACCCACCCCCCAGGTCAGCGTCGCAAGAGCGAGCGGAAAAGACACACAGGCATGGCCACGGACAGACGGCGGACAGAGGGGAGGCAGGGGCAGAAGCAGGCTGGCCCCGGAACATCGGAAGGAAGAGTCAGAGTCAGCCCCGAGGGAGGGAGATGGGAGCCGAGGGAGGAAGGGAGAAAGGAAGGCGGCAGCCAGGTAGACACGTGTCCCCGAGTTACCGTCCACTGGGTAACAGACATGTCTCTTCAATGAAGCTTCATCTGAAAATAGCGTCCACATTTTAGCAGATACACTTGGTCAACGGCGCTTCTTTATACAAAGTCTAAAATACCAGTTTTACAAATGTGAGCAGATAAAAATCCCCATTCCAGGGGCGTCTCTTTATAGGCGCAATTTGATATTCAAAAACAAATAAAATCATGTAGTACACCGTCTTCCTCTTTTTTTTTTTTTTTTACCCCCTCTCTTTAAAGGCAAGAAAGTCTGGAGGAAAGAGGGAGGCGGGGAGATGGGGAGTGCGGAGGAGGACA